TTCGTAAAATTACCTAGATCAGCAAATATCCCCTCCAATGTCAAAAATATATAAAGATTGAGATTTTGACGATCGGCGGCAGTCGTACATTGTTCTTGCAATCGTACAGTAATATTATCAGCATGATCGCGCCAACGTTTGTGGATCTGCAAGGATTCATTATCGGGAGAAACTTTGTCGTGAAGGAAGTAGCGATACTGAGAAATGGATTTGTTCTTTCTCACTACTTTTTTGCAAGTACCATGGCATGCGCTTACAAAATCTGAGAGATGCCAAGCTTCATGATTAATCGGGCATCACCATGGACTTTAATGGGAGGATGGAAACGTTCCATACAGCTTCGCTAGGCGTTTGATTACGAGAGCTGTGATGGGTGCGACGGAAGAGGAAGATGGAGCATCTTCTATCGTGTACTCTAAAGGACACGAAAAACAAGAATGGCTGGCCGATATACTTGACGATGATGCGCGAAACGTCGTTATTATTGAGACCTTGGATGCGGACTATGAAGATATCAATTCGTTAAATATGCTAGATGTTACTAATATTATGCGCTGTGAAAAACACTTAAAAAAATGCGCTTTACAAAATGTATTTAAAATATTCAATTGGTGGACGAATCTAAAAATTTTATAATATTTAAATTCTTATACTAATAAGATTTCTTTTCTGTTACAGAAGGAGCCTGCAGCAAATATTTTTATTATTATTTTTAAACACACACACATAGACACACACACACAAACACACATATTTGTATTATATACACAATTTTTAAATAAATATTTTTATTCTATATAAAAAATGTCAATTATTTCTGCGCCTTCTTTTTTCCTTTTCCCACGTGCATGCCTCGCATTATCTCTCTCTTTCTCCCGCGAACGTCATCCTTTTCCCACGCCAATGCGGACGCTATCCTTCTCCTACACGCGTGCGTGCCTTGCGTTATCTCTCTCACACCGCCTTGCGAACGCCGTATCTCGCATCATTCACGTGCATGCTTCGCGCTATCTCTCTCTTCCAAGTGCATGCCTCGCGCCATCTCTCTCTAATATCATTAGCGCTATCCTTCTTCCACGTCCATGTGAACGCTATCCTTCTCCCACATGCATGCGCACGCCTCGCGCTATCTCTCTCACACATGCATGCGTACGCCTCGCGCTATCCTTCTCCCACACCCATAGAATATCATTAGCGCTATCTCTCTCACACCTACTCGCGGCATCGTACCTTCGCGTTCCCTCTTCCCCGCGGACCCCTCGCCTATCGGTTTCGCCGCGGTTCCCCTTCCCCTCTCCGCGGACCCCTCGCCTATTGGTTAGGACGCGGTCCCCCTCTCCCTCTCCGCGGACTCCTCGCCTATCGGTTTCGCCGCGGTTCCCCTCCCCCTCTCCGCGGGCCTCTTGCCTACCGGTTAGGACCAGTGTAGCCGGAAACAGGTCCCGCGGCTCACGGCTCAGCAATGGAGGGGATAACGCACACAAGCGCGAACCGCGTACGTGTGCGCTCTGCGCTTCGGCTAGCTTCGGAGAGTAGAGAAGAACAGACATATGTTTTCCGTCTTCTTCTCACTTTCTAGTGGAAAGTTTCTACCGAGCTGATAACGAAGGCAATGTTGATCGCTTATTACATACGACAGCGTTAGGTGCTTTTTCGACTCGTGAACTTTTTATTATGCATATATGTGTATATATATATATATATATATTAGG